AGTATACATTACTAAAGTTTCCACAAATGAGCATCTTTCCAGACACTTCATTCCCTCATCCTCTCTGTTAGGAACACTGATGTTATAAAGTCGAAGCGTCACATCTACTGGACTTTACAGCTTAATGGGTGAAAAGTGAATGCCCACTCAGAGTCTTGCCTTTTGACTTTGGCCAAGTCTCACAGATTTGCTCATTCTTAATCAGAGCTGTGTTCCTCTGCAGTTTCTGTCCCCAGTCACATAAGCAGGTCTTTCATTAATGGCTACATTCCAGATTGGAAGTAGGAGAATTCTGCTTGCTGTTCTTCCAGCTTTCCTTGTCTCTTGGTGACGATTTTGCCAGAATACTGGGAGTAGGAGAGGTGGAGAAAGAGAAGAATGTCACTCTGATCTATAAAAAGTATATATAACTTTTAGTGAAAGGAAAAATAATTAAATCAATAATAACCTATGGATAGTATAATGTAATTTTTTTACATACACATATTGTTTATATCTTAAAACAGATGGTGTTAATTCCATTTTAAAGATAAGTAAACAAATGCTCAGAATGATTAAATAGTTTTCCATGGCTACTATTCAATGAATGAATGAAATAAGGAATGAATGAATTTCTAGGAAAAACAGCATGGATTGAGTGGAAAAAGAAGTTTAGATAGAGAGGTCAATTTTTCAATCCATTTAGCAATCAATTTATAGAGAGTAAGCTGGTCTGACAGTCACATGGGGTTTATGTTTGGGGGTAGGATGCTGCTGAAGAACCAATGATGACAAATTTTAAAGAAAACAAGAATGAATAACAGATGAAACATCATCATGGAGTAGAAGAACAATGGTGAGTCAAATGGATGGTTAGGTTTTCACCAGAAACAATTAGCTCTATGGTAAAATTTTTAGCCACTGGCATATTTTGAAAAATTTTTGTAGGCTTCAAAAACAAAAAGTTTGAAAACTGAGGAGATATACAAGTTGATACAGAAATATAGCTAACAAAAACTGATTTAGAAAGAATTAGAAAATAAGAATTTTTTTCAATAATTATTAAAGGAATTAAAGCAATTATTTAAGATCTTACTATTTTAAAAAAAGGAAATCAAAGGTACACTAGAAAATGTTCAGTTTATATGCAAGTTCTACCAAGTTTAATGAACTTCTAAAATTATACAAATGCTTCCAAAATATAAAAATTGAAGGCATACTCTGCAATTGATTCTTATGAGAATAATTTTGATAAAAAATTAGAGATGATATCAGGAAGGAAAATAGTCTATTGTGTTCATGAAATTAGCTGCAAAACTTCTAAACAAATTATCAAACCAAATCCAATTCTCTATTAAAATATTAATGAACAATGTCTAATTTAGGTAAATGAAAGGACCGTGAGGATGGTTTAAAAATGCAAAAATATATAAATATACATTCCTATATTACTGATTAAATGGGATTAACCATATCAACATCTTAAAAGATGCAGTAAAAATTAACATTGATTTATAATAAAAATGATTACTATAACGGAAGTAAAAGGAAATTTTATTAACCTTATAAAAGTTATATCACTCAAAAAAAGAAACAAAAAAGAAAATCCCTATAACAAACATCACTCTAAATAGGGAGATTCTGGAACCACATCATTTAAATTTAGGAACAAAATATGGAGGTTCTCTATGAATACTCCAATTCAATAATGTATTGGTACTCCAGCCAGCAAAATAAGGGAAAGAAATAACAATTATTATAAAAATTGAAGACCACTAATATTACCATTGTTATTAGTATATGAGACAATTGTTTACATGGAAATTCCAATGGATCTATAAAGAAGATATAGGCAATAGAAAAAATAGGAGTAATGTGTCTATCTTTAAGCTATCTATATAAAAGTCAAATATATATACACCGGCAACAAAAACATTAAAACTAGTAAATAATTTTTAAAACATTAAAAATAACACAAACTATAAAACGACTAAGAATAAATCTAATAAAATATATGCAAGATCTGTAAACAGAAAATTTAAACTTTGTTAAAGAATATCTAAATAAATTGGACAATCCTATATTCATGGATGAGTAAACAACATTATACGGATGTTATTTCTCTCAAAATTGATCTATAGTCTTAATGTAACTATAATCAAAATTATGATTGGTTTTTCTTTGTTTTTATTTTTTATTTTTGCAGAATATAAGTTAACTTTAAAATGAATATAGGAAAGAAAAGAAGGAATAATATCCTAGATTCTTCATGCTCTATGAGATATAGAGCTATAGTAATTATAAGCTTTATAGCTTACTATAAAGCTATAGTAATTATAAGAGAGTGATACTAGTACAGAAATGGACCAATTCATAAATAAAACAGAATAGACAGTCCAAAAAGAAATGTGCTCATATATGGAAATTTAACACATTATAGGGCTTGCATGGTAGAAAGTTGAATTATTCATTAATGAAAAGATGGATTAAAAAAACATGGAGAAAAATTTGTGCACAACAGATGAAAGAAGGGAGAAAGAAAGGAAGGTAGAAAGAAAAAGAGAGAGAAGAGTTAAAGGATCCCTATCTCACACTACCCCAATAGAATATTGTAAATATTATATTATATTATATTATATTAATATATCATTTATATAATATATGCAATATCATGCATATTATATATATTTCTATCTGGTGGTGTTATGGTCTAGGATATATCAATATATGATCCTAGGCCATAACAAATATATGACAGTAGATCATAACGAATGTATAATAGACCATAATACCTATCTCATAAACACCATCACATAAAATTTCTTGATAAAGTAAAACTGAAGTAAAACTTCTTTGGGAAACAAAAGTGTATAGGTAAACCTTATTCCAAAAGTAGTACTGCCATGAACACTAGGACGCATGTCCGGTGATGCAATTTGTATAAGAACATAAAATAACTAACCATCCAAATGTCCATTGACATTGATTTTAAAAAGCATCTTCACATAAATGGTATTTAGCAGTAGAAATTAAATAACTTCAACAACACTTGAAGAGAACTTTAGCTACCACATGAATATATATTAGTAACAATGCTAAGTGGAAAAAAGGCAAAAGAAATCAAAATGCTGTTTATGGCATGCACATGATAACCCAAATAGTGCTCACAATGGTGAATGTGAAGGTGGGATGCTCTAGGAAAAGAGCACCAAAGTATAAGTAAGTTACTGCAAATGTTCTACCCTGGGCATGGGTAATTGGTACATTGTGATTGTGTTATACAAAATATAAGCAAACAAACTGATAATAGACTGGAAGAAAATATTGCATCATGTCTAACAAGGTAAATATTCACAGTGTTATACATAAGAAAATACATGAAAATTTCATATTCTAAGTATGCATGGTGCTCATAAGATGGTGGGGTTTTAGTTAACTTTATTTATATTATACTTATGCATTGTATTACTTTGACAGTTTTTTCTAATGATGCTAATTTAAGTAAAAAATATCACTCATAATGCGTAAAGAGTTTATAAGATGATTTTTAAAAATGACTCAGTGAAAAAGAAGGGCACGGCTTTAAGATGCAGTTCACAGAAGAGGTCACACATCTTCTATAATTCTGCAAAAATACACTCAACCCAGTTGTAAACAGAGATGCATGATTTCACAATAATAGCATGATGCTGTTGTTCATAGTTATTGAAGAAATATAATAAAGTTATTTATATGTATTGTTTTGGAGTCACAAGGAAATGGACACATATCTTCTACAGTACGAGTCATTCAGTGTAATTTGATGATATAGTGGATTTTTTTCCTTCTAGAAGATTAGCCTTTAAAACATGCACATGTTCACATAAATGTACTTGAAATTATGTTAAATACAATACTTATTTTTTTGTTATAGTGAAACATTAGAAATAGTTTAAAAGTATATGAAGATAAATGGTTTATTAAATCATAAAATGTACACCCTACATAATGCATTTACTTATAAATCATGACATACTATATGTGCTGACATAGGAAGATGTCTCAGATATTTTTAAATAAAAAGACACACATGAATTGATAGGATGTATAGCATAATGTCATTCATGTTAAAAATATGTAAGTAATAAAATTCATATGTGTACATTCATATATGTAAATATACAGGAAAAAATCTTGGATGATTACATATTATATTATTACCAGTGATTTTTTTCTAGTGCAATGGAGGTAAAGAGACACATTTCAAATATTTATGTCTTGCTCCAGTTCTTTCATTGCAAGAAAATAGGCATGTATGATTATTTAACTGGCTGCAATACTTGCCTTTGTAACTTTTTCCTTGGTAGATTGAATTAATATGCACACTACACACAGTAGCTTCAGAAGCAGTGGGCATTTATTTCAACTGACCCAGCAATTAGGTTTGAGTGTTCCTGCTTTTCAAACATTGTGGGCCAGGTGGAAACACTGGGAAGCCGACTCCTATTTGCAGATCATAAGTCTGAGGGAAACACTGAAACGGTTGCCTAGAACCTCAAAAGCAGCCTGATCAGTTTCTCCCAGTAATGAAGAAAGCAGAAAACCCTCAAAGACATATTTACTGACAAAATAGTCACATTTATCTATTCAAAAAAGAATTTTTGATTAATAAAAATTATTAAATGAAATAATGTAGTATATGTCACTCTGGATTATGTTAACTGCAGATAACATCTGGGAGAATATCAATAAAAATTACAACTTATAAATTTTGTTTTTTCTAACTTTAGAGTTGATAAAATAAAAAATACATATGTATTATAGAAACTAGACTATATAATTAAAATGTTTAAATTAAGATGTCAATACTTTTAGAATTTTGTTCTAGATAAGAACTTAATATTTTTTAATAAAATCATTGAGATTTTACAGTTTCCATAAAATAAAAATATTTTTCATTAGGTGAAATTCTATGAGTACGAAACTAAAAAAGTTCTAATTTTAAAATATCAATCATGTACCATCACATTCTTATTTTTCAGGTTAAACTTTTTCCGTGATGTTTCTGACTTCAGAGTGTTAGCCTGCGGTGGAGATGGAACCGTGGGGTGGATTTTGGATTGCATAGGTAATGAAGACACATATTTAACATGGCTGTGGTGAGAGTGATAACTTTAAAATCTGTATATTTTCTTTATTTTATTAATGCATTGATATCATTGGATGCTACAGTGATATAATTGGAAATCCGGCATGTTGCACATAATTTACTGGTTTAATTTATTCTGTATTTTCACATTTTAATTAACAAAATAATTTACAAGTATCTAGAAATCCTTCTTTTCTAATCAATCTCTTATAGCATTTTCTAAACCCGCAGTTATTTTTAAATCAGGCTCTAAAAAATCCATTTGTTTCTTTGCCCAAGAGAGGGAGCCAAAGAGGATGTTAGTATTTGCAGTAAAGTCTGTCAAACTACTTATTTTAAGTATGCGACCTCAAAACCTTACCGTATGTGGATATTGATATCATAATCACCAATTACTTTTATCATCATGATAGCTAATTTTTATTTATCATGTCTAATAGCCTTGTGATAAGATTTTAACCCCAATCATCTTAATTCTCGCCAATCTTTAACAATAGAGATAGGGAATCTAAGGCTTGACTAGTTTAAATAATTAACAAAGTCTTGTAGCTGTGGAACTGACAGAGCTAGGATTAGAACCTACGCTTTAACCTTATTCTATATTGCCTCTGTATTAAAATTTTAAAAGCTTCATTTTTATAAGCTAACAAAACAGATAAAAGATAGACACGTATCACAAGCAAAGCTTCAGATAGTCAGAAAAATTACCGGGTTTTCAGAGACAGTCAGCTGCCAGAACTGATTACTGGTCAGTAAAATAGATTATGTATTGGCCTTTATGAGGAGATAAATCTAAAACAAATGTTCACTTCTTTAGTTCTCGTTTTAGTTACTTCATGACCAGTTCTTTGCTAAATATAGGCCTTTTCACAAAAAGGAAATAATTTACTCAAAAGATATTTTACTATGTATAGAAATTGAAGCAAACTTTTATTTAGTCAATGCAGGTAAGAATATTCTCTTTTCATAAATATGAAAATATTCAAATTAAAAATGAATACAAGTTGTCAGCACATTTTTGGTAAGCATCTTACAATGTTTATCTACTAACATTTTTGTTAAAAAAGAAACCCCTGAAAATTGTATTCCTTGGCCTTCCAATAAAAAAAATGTAAATATTATTAATATGTTATATTTATGAAAATACCAGAATTCAATAATTGCAATAATTAGAACATTGCTTGTACAGTGTCTGAGGACTTGTGAGAATTTTAAAGTGGAAATAGTAAGATATTATTTGTTTGTTTTAATCCTCCTCTCCAAATCTAAGCTTCGGCTATTAAACTGTGTGATACAACCTTAAATAATGTATTTCCTCCCTATTCTTACCCACAGACACATACTGCCTTTGGGCAGCTGAGAAGAGAGAAAAATAAAGTAATATGTTTGTGAGATTCATTCAAGTCATATAATTATTTAGACAAAAGTATATGGAAGTTCAGTGGCAGAGATCTTTACTGCCCGAATTCAAAGCACTATATCATGTAAAGTTCAATCTCAAAGAAAACCTTCTGATATTATGGTTATCCAGCTCTCATGTTGTATACTTTGATACAGAGCAGCACCGTGGGTGGGAACAACACAAAAATATTGTGAGCACTTCACTTTTAGAATTGAGTGTTTTTAAAATATTTTATTTCTAAAAGGAAAATGTACCAAGAGTTGATGTTACAAAAGGACTTTATATAAAAACCTACCCTTCCACTCTGGTGACACCCATATGTGTATATTCCTACACTAGGTATACCTGTATCCTTGTGAATTTTAATAGAGTTAAACTCACCACAATTTTTAACTGGGTTAATATATTTACAAGACTTTCCTCATGTATGAGTCTTAAAAATTCTTGTCACTTTGTGAGTAATGGTTTTTGTTTATGTGTTATAATTTACTACAAATGCATATAGATTAATTTATAATTATATATATATCTATAAAATATAACTTTCTGTTTATAAGTACCTAGAGGAATGCCTTCATTTCACGCCAAGCTATCTTTTTTACTGTTGTTCTTTCTGTGATCAAAATTTTACTGTTTTTTTACTTTTTCAATTCCACAGAAAAGGCTAACGTAGTCAAGCATCCTCCAGTTGCCATTCTGCCTCTTGGGACTGGTAACGATCTAGCAAGATGCCTGCGATGGGGAGGAGGTAAAGCAGCTCCAGCAATAATGAAAATCTTAAAAAAAAAAATTCAGTGCAGAACCCACCACACACCATAAACACTGTATTTCCTTACTGCATGACGACTGCCATGTTCTTTTAGCAAATATAATTGCTGTGAGACATATAGTATATGATTTTGAACAATAATCTGGGGTGGAGAAACAAAGAGTGGACCAAGAGTTAGACTGTCAGTTTTGGGCTTTAATCTGTTACAAATTATAGACTTGATTGGGCAGGCAAGAGTCCAGACTGTCTCTGGTTTCAGGGTTTCTAATATAAGAAACGAGATAAGCATTAGATTAAGTCTAATATTCAGTCTTTTAATCTCTGAGTTGTGTAGTAGAATCACAAGCAAAGAAAAAATGCAAATGCTATTGAATGACTTCTCCAGAAATGAACACATATTTTGAGACCCATTTTACATCAGACAGTGTTTTCTACACTTGGAGTACAGGGTTAAGAATAGAAAATAAAGGCTGTATTCAAAAGAGTCTTAAATTTTAGTGGCACAAACGTCAAATCTAAATTGTGAGACTTCCTACTAACAAGTAAACAGATAAACAGATAACTAATGTAATGAAAGGAAATTATAAGATTATATTCCTCACCAAGGAATATAAGATATATTATATAAGATTATATTCCTCACCAAGGAAATTATAAGATGACATAGGGAGAATCTTATTGGAATAATGACAGGGCCTTATAGAACTGGGAGTAGCCTTTACTTGTAGAGAGGATGTCAAGTTCAAAGGCTCAGAGGTAGGAAATCACTTGACACACTCAAGAGACTCAAAATAAAATTGTGTGAATGGAACAGTGTGAATAAGAGGATAATATTTCAAGAAGAGGTCTTAAATATTTTGAAATATTATTAATAGGCTGTATTTAATTGAAGATACCAAGGGAAAGAAAACCAGATTTTGCTAAAGCAGCAAGAATTGAATCTTAAATATTTTTAGCATCTAAACTCAGAGATGTTTGGAAAGTGTCTACTAAGAGTGTGAATCAGAAGCCCTTGGGGAGCTTGTTAAAAATATAGTGGCCTGTCCTCACTCCAAATATGCTGCAAGGAAATCTCTGGGGCTGAGACCTGGGCAGATGATTTTCTTTTTAAACAAACTCCCTAAGTAACTCTGATTTATAATAAAATTTAAGGAAAATTGTTCCATGAGTATCTGGCCAACTGATGAAATCTAATCTGTTATATGTATGTGTATATACGACAGACAGAAGTGGAGACTTAGTTAAAAACATGGCATATGATCTATTTGTGATTTCTATTAAGAATATAATTTAGTTAAATAACATTGTAAAATATAAGTTAAATCTTAGAGTCTAAAGAAAGGTAAATACGTAGATGATGATGATAGGTAGATGATAGATAGATAGATAGATAGATAGATAGATAGATAGATAGATAGATAGATAGATGGCAGATAGATGATAGATAGATAAATAGATAGAACCATTGCTTATGAGATTCTTTTATTTTCCAGTGGTTATAAATGTGTATTGATTAAAAGGAAGAAAATCATGAATGTAGCTTCTAGTTGGATTCCTCTGGCAAATATGTTTTATATTTGAAAATTAAGACTTTTATTTTTGTTTCCAAACAAATGGCTTAAATCTAACAATTGGTTTATGAGTTCCATTTTGAGCATAATTCAATGATTTTCTTTAAAAACTGTTTTAAAGATATCATAAGTGGTCAAAGACATAGGAACTATAGTGTATGTCAAGGTATATATTAATGATAAACCATCTATAGGTGCTGAGCACGTGTTGGCACTGTTGTAAGTACTAGATATAGAATGAAAAAATAAATAAATGACCCCTACCCTTTTGGAGATTACATTTCCATTGAGTGCACAGTCAATGAATCAATGAACAATGAAATATCGAGGCTATGAAAGGACAAAAAAGATGGTATTTTAGAGAAAAACAGAAGAGAAACTAGGCTAGATGGTCATGAAATTCTCTGAGGAACTAACATTTAAGCTAGATTTAAAATACGAGGAGGGAGAAATAACTCCTGTATCAAAAGAAATGAATAAAGGCTGATGTGACTCTTGAAGCTATCATGGGGTGGTGGATGGGTATGGATGAAGAAGAGTGAACAGTATGAGATTGAAGAAGTGATCACGAGTCAGGTAATGCAGGGGCTTAGTGGTCATGGCAAGAATTTTATTTGATTGACCCTAAAGCACAAAGTAAAACTGAAAGAGTTGCAAAAGCAGCACGACACAATGACATTTATGTTATGTTATTAGGTTAATTGGGGGATGTAAAATAAACTGTTAAGAAAATGTGGAAATGTGAAGAAATTACAGTTTTTTCAAATGAGAACTTTATAGTTGTTGTAATTAAAGAATAGAAGGATTGGGCTAGGGTGGTGGTAATGTGAATGAGGCAAGTAGACCAAGTGGAGTTCCATTTTTGGAGATGGACATAGAATTAGCCAATGGATTGGATAGAGCTTTAGGGAAAGCAAGGTAGCAAGGGGGACGGAAAGATTCCAGAGTTGAGCAATGAGGAAAATAGAAACGCCAGCACTAGAGTTTACTAATAAAAAAAGTGCACTGGAGTGAGATTATTTCTTGCCAGGGGTGAAACTGAGCAAGTTGCTTAACAGATGTTGTGCTTCAGATTTCTAATCAGAATTTGAAGAAAATAAGAGCGTCTGACTCACAGGTTCTTATGCCGAACTATTAAATTATTTTCCCAGTGTGTGCTGAGTACCTTATGTAGTCGTAGTAATTATCATTATGCTTAACATTTAGAAAGGAAAATACTTTATTTAACTAATAATCATTTGATTCACTTAAGGTCACTGAACTATATTGACTTGAAGTTTTCTTTTTTTTACAAGAATATATATTTTATATTTTAGAAAATATAACACTGGAAGACCATAGGATGTCCTTGGGCATTTGAAAAATATGTAATTTATAGTCTCTTTGCAATTTTTCTAGCATTTGTTCCTCTAACAAAAGTTTGAAATTATTGCAAAAAAATACATTGAATGATAAAGTGTAGGGAGAAGAGACAGTTTTAAATGGAGCACACTCAGAAATACTTGTTTTTTGCTTTTTCATGTAATTTTCATTTGTAAAAATTTATGACTTTTTAGATAGATTCAGGCATTATGATAACATCAATCATTAAATAAAAAATAAATATTTATGTTTTAATTTTTTCTCTTAGCCTAGAGTGATTATAGGCTTTAAATAAAAATAATGGAAGCAAAATAGCATCATTTTTTCTGGAGGTAAGCTTTTACTTTCATATCTAGTGAGTTTAATTTGTCTTTTTTATATGAACTTGAGTTCAGGAATCTTATTTATAGTTATAGATTATTATTTAACAAGTTCTCGGGCATACATAAATATAAAACAGGGTATGGATATTTGTAAAGTAGGGGACTACAGTTTGGAATTCTCCTTTGTTGAATTAGTTATGAAATATAAATGTTGTGATTCCCAAAATAGGTCTATTTATTGCTTATCTCTTTATCTTTTTACTTGCCTAGAAGGCTGATTGATGCCAGCCTTTTTTATGTTTAGCCATGAACTCTTGAGAACATATCTAGCAGTAAAGATTTTCAATTGAGTGACCCTACTAGAATATAGCTGTGGTAATTAATATTCACTAAATTAATATCTACTTTGTTCTCTCCTGGTCAACTGTTGTTTCCACATTTTCCTAGTGTTTTTTTGAACCTTGCTGTAATCAACCTGAGATGTAGCTGAGGACAAACTCAATATTTGATTTAAAGCATTATTATTTACTCATATTTCTGCTGGATATGTATGTATATATATTTATATGTATATTGTACTATGCTTTCATACTACATTATTACTATATTATATTAATATATGTGCAAAAATATGAGTTCTGAAAACATTTATTTTCAAACAAGAGTAAAATTTAGAAATTAGGCAAATATATTTGTTTCACTTTTTGTTATTCAATTCACTAGGGAATATATGTATAAAATTTATTTGGAGGGCTACTATTTATTCTGTTTAAAAGAAATAAAAATATTAAGAAAAATTAAACATTTAAAATAAAGATTGAACTATTAGGACACATAAGTTTATGATGTTTAGTTATCATAATCTAGTAGTTTAACAATTTAATGTTTTATCACTGAATACAATTATATACATATTATTATGTATATTCATAGTTTTTGAATTGTGCTATAAAATATGATGTCTATTTAAATAATATGTGATACCTTTAATATTTATACCTGTGTAATCATTGTTGTATACTTTGTTGTATGTGGCAAATAGTGCATAATTATTTTTTAAACCTGTATATGATGAGAAATGAGGTGGACTCCAAAATAGGTATCTTTAGTTTCAGGCTGCCTAGACGCTCTAATAAATAATTGAACGAATACACCATAAATGTGATTTATTCATCTTTGGAGAATTTTGAAATGTTATATAGTGCCTATTCTTTTAATCCAACTAGTTTCCCCAATGTTATGTATGCTAATATCTAATGAGAACTCATAGCCTCTGGTTACTTGTTCAACAAACAGATTATTAAAATGTAGACCAAAATGTAGACCAAAGTTGGACGCAGAGCAAAATCTATGAAAATATAGTTCCAGCTCAAGATATCACTTCAAGTGTGTGTGTGTGTGTGTGTGTGTGTGTGTGTGTGTGTGTGTGTAGAGTCAGAGAAATACTATTTAACTTAGTATAATATTACAAATTCTGATGTTATCATCAGTATCATTATATTGTTGAAGAGGAGAAAACTGTTGAGGGAGGTTAAAAGTGAATGCTTAAGAAAGTAACATAGCCATGATTAGGCTACAGTCTTAACTATAATGTTGTATACCTATAGATACTTTTAAGAGAAAATATAATAATAAAAAATAATGTCTTTTGGGGCCATGTTGACTATCTGTAATAGATTCATTAAAAAGTGGACTTGCTGAGCATTTACTCTAGGGCAGACCTGGTGAAAAGAACTTGTAGTGAGAATGATGCAAATAACTGTATGCAGTGTGGTAGTTTTATGATAGGGCTAGTTTTGAGAGCTATGTTCTGTGAAACTGCATAAAATCAACTAATTTGAAAGGGTGGCTTCCAGAAATAAGTGCTATCAAACATAAAACCCGAAGAGGGAGTAGAAACAAGCCAGCCAAAAGAAAGGGGATGCTCTGTATAGACAGAATAAGACATGATAGGGAAAAAAGTTAAACAGTGAAGGAACTTCTGCTTAATTTAAAAGTTCTGTATAACTAGAAGGGAAAATGCGAGGATAAGGGGGTGATGGAAAGAGACGAGTCTAAAATAGCATCCAGGATTTTTACCTCAGCAACTGGGTAGAGGTTGTTTCTTTTACGAGAGAGAGTTCACAGGAGAAAGATATGAAAGCAGATAATTAATTTCGTTTTGAATATGTTGATATGAAGTTTTGTGGGAATTTGCAGTGGAGATGTTCATTTGGCAATTGACTACTCTGAAAATTTAAACCACAGAAGAGAAATATGATTTGCAAATTAAAGCTAAAAATATTAGTATGAATAAAATAAGATTATAGTTGATTCTTATTTAGAATTTGCTTTAAAATGCATTATTTAGCTATAGAATGATACACAGTCATACACAAACTCAAACTCATGTAAATACAGCTTTTATATTTGGTCATATTTTTTCTCAAGATAGTTTTTTTTTTTTTCATTAGGTTATGAAGGTGAGAATTTGATGAAAATCCTAAAAGACATTGAAAACAGCACAGAAATCATGTTGGACAGGTGGAAGTTTGAAGTCATACCTAATGACAAAGATGAGAAAGGAGACCCAGTGCCTTACAGTATCATCAATAATTACTTTTCCATTGGCGTGGTAAGATTTTCAACTTTTTTTTTTTTTTAACCAATCCTGGATAATCACTCTGTTAACTCTTACACTATGAAGATTAACTGATTATAAATAATTTATCTTTGTGTCAGCAAAACACTTCTTCTAATGGGCTTAATAAAGCTTATGAATTTATGTAAAGTTAGAGTACCAGCAATAAATAAATGTTTCATGTGTTAAACAAAGGAAGAAACAATGTTTTTATGTAATTGGTTTGACTATTTGTGTTACAAAGCGAATGTTAGAATGGTTTATGATAATGGATTAGTTACAAGTATTAGAGTATAAGCTAAAGTTCCACATTAGTGAAAATGTGAAAACAGTGCATCAAATTGACCTTATTTTGAGATCTTTATTATAATATCATTATATTCTACTAGGTTTTTACATATAGACATTATGTTTAAATTTATAGATCAGTCTGAAGTCTAAGAAAAATGCTGCTACTATTCTCACATGGTTAATAAGTCAAAAGGCTACTTTTTCACTTAATTTTTTGAAAATTTTAGACTGAAAGTAAAATATCATTTGACAATTGAATCATTATAATTTTAATCCTTAAGAATTATAAAAGTGATTTTACATATATGTAATATATACATATATATAACCAAAGAATGTATATTATCTGCAGAATTTCATTCTATTTAATATTTCACTCAATATTATCTTATGTCTTACTGTATTCTCTCATGTGCATGCATGTGTGCATACACACATACACACATCCACATATCCATGCACCGACATACAACACTAGTAGACTATAAAAAGCATTGGTTGAGTTTATGAACTTAGGAGTCAAACTACTTAGATAAGAGTCCTTTAGCAACTTTTTTTATTCTGAGTGTCCATTAATTTATCTGTATCATGATGGTTATTTTCTCTCTCATAATTACAAATAATGTGATTATACATTTAAAGAGCCTCAAATAATGGTGCATAATGAAGGTTTAATGGACAATCATTGCTAATACTATATCAATTACTGTTATTTACAAGAAAAATATAAGGGATTTTGATCCATAAAAGTCCTCCTATTTATATTTGATATGAATGTGAATAACATTTTAATGGCTTTATTGTCATATAACAGACACAACTTAATTCACTCATTTCAAGTGAATTTTTTAATGATTTTAAAAATATCCAATTTTAGAGCATTTTCATCAAAATAAGAACTTCATGCCAATTTATAGTTAATTCCTGCTCCTGTTTCCAGCTCCAAGCGATATCTAATCTTTCTCCAAGATTTGCCTTTTATGAATATTTCCTGTAAAAGAAATTATACAGTATATAGCCTTTTACATCTGGCATCTTACGCTTCACATGTTTTTGAGCTACACCCATATGAACTACAAAAATACTGTATTAGTTTTTATTGCTGAGTAGTAGCACATTATAGGAATATATCATATTTTCCATTCATCAGTTGATTAACATTTAAAGTGTTTCTAGTCTTTGAATATTATGAATAATGCCATTATTTTGAGTCCTTTTAGTGAATTTTTTGTTTTGGTTACTGTACTTTTTAACTCCAGAATTTCCGTTTGATTCTCTTTTTATAATTTTTATATCTTTAATCAGTATTTTCTATCTCAAGAGTCATTATTGTTATGCTTTTCTTTATTCTTTAAACATGGTTTACTTTAGTTTTTTTTGGACATGTTTATAGTAGCTGTTCTGAAGTACTTGTCTGGTAAGTCCAACATCCGGAAACTATCACAGAGTTTGATAACAGTTGGGCTCCATCAAAGACATTATTTCTTACAAAGTATATGTCACATTTTCCTATTCTTCTACGTGTCTGATAATTTTTAGTTGGGAGCTAGAAGTTTTATATAATATATTGTAACAACTTGGTGTTCAGATCCTCACATAGAGGTTATGATTGTTCCTGTGTTTGTTTAGTGACTTACCTGGACTAATTATGTGGAGCCTTTCTCCTCTGTGGTGTTATGGGTAATGATGCCTCAGTTTTCAGTTTTATTCTTTTTAATTTTTGTTTTTATTTTAATCCTGGCTTCCTAGGGATCACTCTTGTGTCAGCCTGATTGACCAGAGTTGTGCTCAAACACATTTAGGCAGGAAGTCTTCATCCTTTTGCCATTGGATCTGTGTTCACTGAGGAACACGTACATGCTTCAGGCAATTATTAATATTTTAATATCTGCTTTTATTGTTCAGCTTTTAATATCTGCTGGCCTTTATTTTGTCTCTTCTGTTCATGTACAAGTCCCCTTATTTAGTCAAAGATGTGTAAATCATAAGGTCTTCTTTTCTAAACATGTGTACAGCCTTACACATGCATATGGCCTTTCAGACAGCCAGGGATATGTGGAAATTTATCAAGATCTATTATGGCTGTCTCATTCCATGATCTACTGAATTAATGGCTGCTTGACTCATTAGTTGTTTGTGAGCTCTGACACTGGTTTTCCTTATCCATTTGCCACAGAGATCACTACTGTTTTAGATAGCTCTCTGAGCCATAAATTTTTTTCTTGCTTCTATTCCAATTACAGTCAGCTCCAGGGATAGTAAAGTTGCTTGTTTTCGTAGATTGCCCCACCCTGGTAGAACTACAGTACTGATGGAGTTGGAGGGTAAGGGGGAGCCCAAGGCTGAAACATCACAGATTATCGCTGTTCTTATCTGAAGTTCAGTAGTTATTCTTGAATTAATACTCCCTAACTGGTTGTATGCCTTTGGTCAATTTCCAAATTTCTGTGTGGTCCTCCATAGAGAATAATTTCTCTCCACCACAGGAGACATTTGACAATTTTTGGAGACATATTTGAAGGTCATGATTGAGAGAATATTGCTACTCGCAATTAATGGATAGGGAGAGGTTAGGGATGCTACTAAACAATCCCAGTGCATAGAACAACTCCCAAAACAAATAAGAATTAGACAGCTCAAAATGTCAATAGTGCTGAAGTTGAAAAACCCTGATATCAATAAACAGAAATATTAAATACAAAAATCAACATGTTGAAAAGGAGAAACAACAAAAACCCAAAGAAATGAGAAAGAAAGCTGTAATCAAAATAAAGCAGAAAATAACAACAAAGAGTAACAACAAAATAGAGAATGTTAGTGAAACCAAAAGCTGGATTATTGAAAAGTGTTAATCAGATGTATTGGAAAATTAATTTTACAATTGTAAAAAAAATTCAAATAAACCATATAGAGTTAAAAAGACAAAAAGAAACCCATAAATACAAAAAGTAATATTTCAACTGAAAATATACAAGGACTAAATATGGTAATATATCAGTAACGAGCAATGAATTTATAAAAACAACAAAAATTAAAAGCATCTAAGAATTAATAAAACAATATATAAGACCTACATATTGAAAATGTTAAAACTCTCTACAAAGACATAAAATATCAGAATAAATGGAGATATTTTTTATTTTTAGATGGGATAGGTTAACATAATATGCAAACTAATTTATACATTTAATCTATAATCAAGATTAGAGCTAGATTTTATAACAGATTTGAAAATCTTATTTCACAATATATATGACAAAATAGGTAATTTGATTTTAATAAAAGAGAAGGAGAATTGTTTTACCAAATTAAATATGCTAACAGTGGATTGCATAATTATAATAGAATGGTGCTATGAAAGAATAGATGAAAGAATCAACGGAGAGGTAGACACATTGAAACAGTATAGAGGTAGCAAAAACTCGTTAGAGAAATGACAGATTGCTTAGTTGATAGTGTTCAAAAAACTAGCTTTCTAGCAGAAGAAAATGTTGTTAGAACTCTACCTTATGTTATATAGGTAATTACTAGATGTATTAAAGTACTAAATTTGAAATTCAAAGTTTAGGACCTAATAAAATAACATGTAATAGAATATATTTATGATTTAGAGGTAGAACAGACCTAACTAAACAGAATAGATTTTGAGTTTCCTCTCAAAGAGTCCTACTTCGTTTGACTTGGAGCCTCTTTCACTGAGTAATATGAGAAATAGGGATGTGAAGAGAGGATAACATCTTGCTCTGAAATTTTGCCTGTGCTTAGTAATACAAACTCTCAACATCCTGGGTCACCATGAGTGCTCTAGACCTTATAGAGAGATTTCATGTGTTGTCCATCCCTCAGCAAGGCCACCTTCTACTCAGCAAATTGTATTCCTCTGCCCTAGTCAGTGAATCAGAAAAATAAATCATCTATATCAAACTATTCCTGAATATATAAGTAGTGGAGCTGGAACATTGAAGGGATAAGAACATTTCAACATTTTGCTATTACCAGCATGAGAAAGCTTAAGATGACACATAATTTGTATTTGATATTATCTGTAGGAACCCAATTATCAACTAGTTAGAAGATGGTCTCAAAGTTTGACTACTATTTGTGCAGTTTTTATTATTTCAACTATTGCCATTCTTATACTGACTATAAGTGCTTTATACTTTACGTAGAAACTTGCTTCAAATTTTTAGAAAATTTGTAATGGTCAGAAATATATAGATATCATCTTCATATATGTTATGATATATCCCTTGTATTAGAATGTGTTAACTGCTGGCACAGACGACCCCTAAATATTAGTGGTCTGACAACAGCTAAAAATTAGTTCTTCCCTCACATGATAGGACAACATATGTTGAAATTTAAAGAGAGGCTCTGCTCCACTTGATCAATCAGTGACCCAGGCTCCTTTCATCTTGTTCTTTCACTCCTTTGTAAAGCCCTCTCTATTCAACAACCGAGTGACAAAAAGAGTAGAATATTGGATTGGGTGTATTTTCATGAGTCATGCTTGGAAGATGGTCATTTGTTGGCCGTAGCTTAATCACTTGACTGTGCCTAATTGTAAGGACGCTGGGAAAGGAATTCCATTTGCCCAAAAAGAAATGGGAAATTGGTAAATAACTAGCCAGTTTCTGCTAATTTCTTCTTTGTAATACTTTTCAATTTTAGCCAGAATTATTGCAAATGATCTGGAAATCATA